GAAAATAATTCAGAGGAATTGCTGGTTTGGGTTTGGCACAATTGGAAATTTATGCAATCCAGAATGGTTTGGGTTGGAAGGGACCTTGAAGCTCATCTTGTCCCAGCCCCCTGCTATGGGACACTTTCCACTATCCCAGGTTGCTCCAGCCTTGAACATTCCAGGGATGTGGCAGCCACAGCTTCTCTGGGCAGCCTGTTCCATTCAGAACACTCCTGTTTTTAAAGGGTTTGCTTTTTATTTAATAATTATGTCTTTAATAATCTGTTCTGCCTCTCTACAGGTTGGAACACATCCCTGCCCTTCCACCTTAGTCAGGGAATATAGGGAATATCACCCAGCAATGAATCTGGCTGAACAGCATGGAGAATTCCTGTAGTTTGGGGTGTTGAGGGAATGTGGCAGACTCCTGTCAGATGTCATTTGACAGCTTGATTAAATCCTCTCATCATACATTTATTTTTCTGCTGCTGAGAGTGAAGGTGGGAGGTGCCACTGGTGCATCCAGACTTTGTAGTGACACTGAATTATCCAACTGTGTCCATTCACACGGGGCTTGGCATCACCTGAGAGGAAAATGCTCCCAACAGAACAGACCTGAAGGATTTGTTGAGTGTTAAATGAATTTCAGCAGCTCTCAGTCTGCTCAGTGCAATCAGAATCCTGCAGGAGGGCTGAGCAGCTCCACCTTGTCACACTCATCAGTGTTACCAACTCTCTCTTCTTGTACCTGAAAGATTCCTTCATTCCCAAGGGAAAGGTGGATTACACAATTCCTTCTAGATTAAACAGCTTGTACTTGCCTTTCCATCACTTGCCTTTTTTAAATTATCCCATTTTATTTGAGTGGTTGTTCACTGGCACACTGACAGATGGGATCTCTGCCTGCTTCCCAAGTGAATTGCTGTTGATTTCTGAGTTCTTACCTTGATATTATTCCAGTTTTTCAAGTCACTGTTGGGTTTTGCCCACTTTTGTAGGTTCAGTGAGTGTGTGAGGAAGCAGCTTCTCATTCTGAGAGCTGAATTCTGGTCTTCAGAATTCCACCTGCAAATTAGAAAGCCTGACACTAAAGAAAAAACCCAGAAATAACAAAACCAGCCCCAAAGCCCAAGCACAGGATTCTGAATGAAAATACAGTCTGATTTTTATTATTAATGCAGGCTCTGCTCTCTGTGTCCTGTATTTCACTTTAACTCAGCCAGATCTATAACCAGCTACAGAGGCCTTTTAATAGAGCCAAAATATAGGAAATTATCAATAGCTGTGTCTGGGAGCTGTCCCAGCCTGGCCAGGCACAGATGGTGCAGCAGAATCCTGCTTTAGTGATTAACTGAGCCTCCAGATGATTTCCTTGAGCAGCCAGCCCTGTGCTCCCTGCAGGACCAGATCCCCCAGATCTGCTCCTGGTGGGGCTGGGATCCCCAAATTCCCAGCAAAGCAGGGTTTAGCAGGGTGTCAGAATTGATCTCTTGAGTCCCATCTTCCATAAAGATCTGAGTTAGCTGTCATGTGCTGGGGACAAGGGATGCTTTGTGTGCCACCATCCTGCTCCTGAGGCTGTCACCTTCCTGCTGGATCCTGGGGATTCTGACCTTACAGCAGCATGAGGCCCATATGGACAGGAATCTTAGGGAAAACTTGTCAGCTTACTCCCAAGAATGGTGTTTTGAATTAATCCTTTTCAAAATAAAAAAAAAGAAAAGAAAAGTGTTGGCAGCTCTTTAATGTGGATGATGGTTTTATAACACTGCAGAGGCTTACATGGAAAACAGCAACATTCCTATAGTTTGTTTTTTTTATTGAGGCCCAAGGAAGAACTTCAAATGGACATTTTCCCCTTTTATTTTAAGTAAAAAGGAGCTGGAAATACCTTCCAGAGTTAATGATAGCAAGTAGAATGAATTGCTGGAAAGCCCAGAAATGGGAAGGAATGACCTGTGTGTGTGTGAGCCCCTGGTGTCCATGTGGGGGTCCCAGAACTGCCATTCCTGGGATCTCTGGGAGCTCATGGACCCTGCCAAAGCCAAGGCAGCCCTTCCCATGCCTGGCTGGGAGTGCAGAGCCAGGGAAAGGCTTGCAGTGGGATGCAATCCCTGCTTTGATCAGCTTTTCCAGGCAGGAATCACTGGGCAGTGAGGTCAGCAATCCTTTGTGTGGAAATGGGAGGAAGAGCAGTGGAATCGAACCCACTTTGCATCATTTTCATTTTAATGCCACTCTGCCATCAGGCCCTTGGTCGTTGTGGGATGCAGGGATGTGAGCAGGGCTGGAAAAGCTGGGATGCAGGAAATCCCATTTCCCCCCACAGTTCAAGCCCAGCAGAGCAGAAGGTTCCTCCTGCTCCTCTCCAGGTGCCATCTGTTCTCAGGTGCCTCTGCTGCTGTCCCATGTGTCCCAGGCTCTGTTTTTAAACCAGTTAGGACTCTTTCCTTCTCTAATCCCTGCTGCAAAACTGCTCTTCTCCATCTGCATGTCACATCCATTCATGGCCAGTTTATACCATGAATTCTTGCCCCTTTATCTGAAATAGTTTTTATATCTCTCTGAGGTATTTAACAACCATAAACTGCTCCATCTTCTTCTGGCAAAGATAAATAGAAAACATTCTCTGGCTCCAAAGGGAAGCGTTTCCACCTCCATCCTGGTTTGAAATCATCCATTTTGGATTAGAATGATTAGAATTAGTGCTAATTTATCACCTGTATTAGGTGAGTGGCTGGGAATTATCACATGCTTTAATCATCATATTTTTAATGGAATATATTGGAGAGCCTGGCAGTGACTGTTGGAGCAGTAAGTACTCATCAACCAGGCTAAATTTAATTATTTTATATGAGAAAGTGTGAAAGAGTAATAGAATTGAGCTATGAGGAGCATCTTAATTGAGGCAAGGTTGGCTTGAGAGCTTCAGGATCAGCACAGGGTGGAAGAATCATTGTGGGTGATAAATTAGTTTATGTCTGTAGAAGCAGATGGGGTGGGAGGGCACCTCGGGGTGTGGTGGGAAGGAGGAAAGGTCATTCCTTGTTTATGGAGAGTCCTCTTCCTTCTGGCCTGCTGGATGAGAAAGTTCCACTTGTTTTGTGGTGTCATTTTGGCCTGAAACTTCAGGAGAGAGAGACAAGACTGGGAAGTGTTTGGAGAATTAAAGTAGTGATGAAAAAGTGGTTTTCAAACCAAATTTGGCAATCTCATTTTTACATGCCCAGCTGACCTGGTAGGAAGAAACTTGATTTCTTGGAGCTTGACACACTAGGTTGAAACATTCAATTAAATGTATTAAATGTCAATATATATTTTGCCAAACTAATCATCAGTCCAGCCACTAAACACAAACTTCCTTGCCAAAGCGAGGTAGAATTTCTACATGAATGATTTGGATGCTGAAGAATTGTCTGAGAGAGAGTGAGCACAAAATTGTTCAATTACTGTACAGTGCTAAACCTGCTAGTGGTGTAGGATGGGAATTTCACATGCTCCTGGAGTGAAAACAGCACTAAAAGATGGTTTGTGTGTTGAGAAATTGCATCTTTTAGCTGTCAGGGTTGGCTGTTCCTTGAAGAGGAGGAGGAGATACCCCCAAAAAACCCCAACCAACCCCAGAAACCACCCAACACCCCCAACCCACTTCCCAAACTCTTCTTTAGCAGAGAATGAGCCTGTATTTGTTTAAATTTGGAGTCTGAATAGCTGGTTTGTTTATCCCCAAGCCTGCTCAGCAGTTAAGAATAGTTCTTTATCTTCCCATTAAGACTGTATTATTTTACAGAAAAGTGGGTGGTATCCAGTTTTACCCTGATATTGGCCCATTCCCAGAAGATCCTTACTGACACTGGAAGATGGAAGAAATACTCACAAATGTTTCCTTCAACAATGAATTTTTAAGTCAAGAGCTCTGATACACTCCAGCATCAGCTGGGGGTACTTCTTATAAAAAAAACCTTTGATTTTCCAGGAATATTTTTCCCTTAAAGCAGCTGAACTGCCATGAAGAGCTAAATGATCCCCTCACCTCTTCACCCTGGGGGAGCTCTGACACCAAACACGGGGTGCAGGAGCTGAGCCTGCCCCCATCTCCTGCAGGGTGCTGGGCTGAATCTGTGCCCCCATCTCCTGCAGGGTCCTGTGCCCCATCTCCTGTAGGGTCCTGTGCTGAATCTGTGCCCCCATCTCCTGCAGGGTGCTGGGCTGAATCTGTGCCCCCATCTCCTGCAGGGTCCTGTGCCCCCATCTCCTGCAGGGTCCTGTGCCCCATCTCCTGCAGGGTGCTGGGCTGAATCTGTGCCCCCATCTCCTGTAGAGTCCTGTGCTGAATGTGCTGAGCCCCATCTCCTGCAGGGTGCTGGGCTGAATCTGTGCCCCCATCTCCTGCAGGGTCCTGTGCCCCATCTCCTGTAGAGTCCTGTGCCCCCATCTCCTGCAGTTTGCTGTGCTGAATCTGTGCCCCCTCTCCTGTAGGGTCCTATGTCCCATCTCCTGCAGGGTACTGGGGTGAATGTGCTGTGCCCCCATCTCCTGCAGGGTCCTGTGCTGAATCTGTGCCCCATCTCCTGCAGTTTGCTGTGCCCCCATCTCCTGCAGGGTCCTGTGCCCCATCTCCTGCAGGGTGCTGTGCTGAATGTGCTGAGCCCCATCTCCTGTAGGGTCCTGTGCCCCCAGGACCCGGTGCAGTTTGCTCTGCTGAATCTGTGCCCCATCTCCTGCAGGCTCCTGTGCCCCCATCTCCTGCAGGGTGCTGTGCCCCCATCTCCTGCAGGGTCCTGTGCTGAATTTGTGCCCCCATCTCCTGCAGGGTCCTGTGTCCCCATCTCCTGCAGGGTCCTGTACCCCCATCTCCTGCAGTTTGCTGTGCTGAATGTGCTGAGCCCCATCTCCTGCAGGGTCCTGTGCTGAATCTGTACCCCCATCTCCTGCAGTTTGCTGTGCTGAATCTGTGCCCCATCTCCTGCAGTTCGCTGTGCTGAACGTGCCGGGTTTTGGCTTTTGTGTCCCTACAGCGACATCCCCGCGGGTGTCCTCGGAGCTGGAGCAGGCGCGGCCCCAGACCAGCGGCGAGGAGGAGCTGCAGCTGCAGCTGGCGCTGGCCATGAGCCGGGAGGTGGCGGAGCAGGTCGGTGCCCGTGTAGGTTTTCCAAAGTGTCCCTGCTTGGAGAGTTCACAGTGCAGCCTGGTTTGGTTGGTTGGATTTGATTTTATCTTTATTTTATTTTATTTTATTTTATTTTATTTTATTTTTAATTTTTATTTTATTTTATTTTTAAAATTTTATTTTGTTTTATTTGATCTTATTTTCTTTTAATTTGAATTTAATTTAATTTAATTTTTTATTTTATTTTATATAATTTTTTATTTTTATTTTTTATTTTATTTTATTTATTTTATTTTGTTTAATCTTGTTTTATTTTTATTTTATTTTTATTTAGTTTTATTTTACTTTCTCTTATTTTTATATTTTATTTTATTTTATTTTATTTTATTTTATTTTATTTTATTTTATTTTATTTTATTTTATTTTATTATCTTCTTTTCCCCTTTCCCCTTCCTTTCCCTTTCCCCTTCCTTTCCCTTTCCCCTTTCCCCTTCCTTTCCCTTTCCCCTTTCCTTTCCCTTTCCCCTTTCCCTTTCCCTTCCCTTTCCCTTCCCTTTCTCCTTTCCTTTCCTTTCCTTTCCTTTCCTTTCCTTTCCTTTCCTTTCCTTTCCTTTCCTTTCCTTTCCTTTCCTTTCCTTTCCTTTCCTTTCCTTTCCATTCCATTTCTATTTACTTTATTTCATTTATTTTATCTTCTTTTATTTTATTTATGGCAGCTTGGCTTTGCTCCAGGTAGAATCCTGTGTGTGGGTTGGTTTCTTTTTTATTATTATTATTCTTAAAATCTCTTTTTAAAGTAACTTCAGCCTCTGAGCTGTTGAGACTAGTGGAAGATGACAGTCACTTTGAGAGAAGACTTTGTGTGGGAGGATGTTAATCATACATTACTGAAGATGTTTTCAGTTAGAATGAGCTGAAAGCATGACTGGTCCTGAAATCTTCATTAATGTCAGTGAATTCTGATTCCAGTGGAATTTGGAACAGCCTGTTCGTTTGGTGGGAGTTTCTGGAACAGGAGGGTGACCTGACACAAAGTACCAGAATATATTGAAAAAAAAATGGATTAAAGAAATTGACTCCTGATCTATCACCTGAGTTATGTTACTGTGCTAATTCTTAGCAGCTTCATTCTGAATTCGGAGTAAATTTGGATAAAATGACTGCATTTTAATACATAACAAAGACAAATCCAGGCTCTGAGTGAAAATTCAAGTCAGCCATGCTGAGTGCCTGGAATATTTTAGAGGATTCCTGTAACAATTTAGTTTACAGCTGTATGTTAAGCATGAATGCTCGGAAAGGGAAACTGTAACCCAGTAAACTTTGTCATTATTGAGCAATAAAGGGAACTAAAATATAAATCAGCACCTAAGCATTTGAAGTAGCTTCAAAAATGACAAGCTGGGGGATTAGTCAACTTCTGAGAGACATGATGCAAGCAGAGATATTTAAAGGAGTTGAGTGTGGCATAAACATTGTAGTTACAGATGTTTAAACCTTCAAATTACACCTGCACTTGGCAAGACTCAATTCCCTCGGTGCATCTCGCACCAGCGTGGAGGGAAGTGAACAAAGGCAGGGGAAATTCCACTTTGGCTCCCTGCAACCCTCAGTGGTGATCTGAATGCTGAAAAACCATGATGCCAGTTTAAAAATGGCTTGTTCACTTGAAGGTCTGTGGTGTTTCTAACAGAATTTTGGAAAGAATGGAACAACACTGGGGTTAATTTAAAAATGGCTTGTTCACTTGAAGTTCTGTGGTGTTTCTAACAGAATTTTGGAAAGAACAGAACACTGGGGTAAATTTAAAAAGGGCTTGTTCACTTCAAGTTCTGTGGTGTTTCTAATAGAATTTTGGAAAGAACAGAACAACACCAGGGTAAATTTAAAAATGGCTTGTTCACTTGAAGTTCTGTGGTGTTTCTAACAGAATTTTGGAAAGAACAGAACAACACCAGGGTAAATTTAAAAATGGCTTGTTCACTTCAAGTTCTGTGGTGTTTCTAAGAGAATTTTGGAAAGAATAAAACACCAACACCAGGATAAATTTAAAAATGGCTTGCTCACTTGAAGGTCTGTGGTGTTTCTAAGAGAATTTTGGAAAGAATAAAACACCAACACCAGGGTAAATTTAAAAATGGCTTGCTCACTTGAAGGTCTGTGGTGTTTCTAACAGAATTTTGGAGAAAACAGAACAACACCAGGGTAAATTTAAAAATGGCTTGTTCACTTGAAGGTCTGTGGTGTTTCTAACAGAATTTTGGAAAGAATGGAACAACACCAGGGTAAATTTAAAAATGGCTTGTTCACTTCAAGTTCTGTGGTGTTTCTAAGAGAATTTTGGAAAGAATAAAACACCAACACCAGGGTAAATTTAAAAATGGCTTGTTCACTTGAAGGTCTGTGGTGTTTCTAACAGAATTTTGGAAAGAATGGAACAGCACCAGGGTAAATTTAAAAAGGGCTTGCTCACTTGAAGTTCTGTGGTGTTTCTAACAGAATTTTGGAAAGAATGGAACAGCACCAGGGTAAATGCTAACCAGCAATGACCACAGCAGGGTCGGGGTGCTCCCGAGGCACGAACCCCAGGAGAGCTCCTGTGCCTGGTGTGTGCTGTGTGGAAATGGAGCCTGTGGAGCACAGGGGCAGGGCTGGAGCCCTGCAGGGAGCAGCAGCAGCAGCTCAGAGCAGGCTCGTGCTCGGTGTCACCAGTGTTGGTTTCCTTTGCAGGAGGAGCGCCTCAGACGCGGGGACGATCTGAGATTACAGATGGCTCTGGAGGAGAGTCGCAGAGACACAATTAAAATTCCCAAAAAGAAGGAGGTAGTGCCTTGGCCTAAGAAATTCCCGGTTATGCTGCCAAAAGCTGAATTACAGTAACACAAACTTAGCTTAATACCGAGCTCTTTTGTGCTTTTGGGTTTGCTTTGTTGTGTAGCTTAAAGCTTCTTCCGTGTGGGTTAAATTTGGAGCTAGTCAATGCAGGCGTGTAAAAGGAAAAATAATAATAATAATGATAATAATAATAATAATAATTGCTTCTTCACTCTCGTGGGTTTGTACTTCAGCCTGGCAAGGCTCTTGAGTAAAGCTCAGCTTCTTCCTGCCCTCAGCACACCACCCTGTTGGACCTGATGGATGCCCTGCCCTCCTCGGCACCGGCCCCGGCCAAAAGCGAGCCCTGGGGACCTCCTGCTGCTGCTGCTGCTGCTGCTGCTGCTGCCAACCAAACGGATCCCTGGGGAGGATCCACAGCTGCAGCCCCTGCCTCCGACCCCTGGCAATCATTTGGTAAGAGCAAACTGCCAGGAGCACTGGGATGTCAAAGGTTTTGCTTTTTAACCTTGCATTTCAAAGTTCCTCAGTGTCGAACTCGTGTATTTTCATTCATTTCACCAAATTCCTCGTTTCCAAGCAATGGAATGAGGAACATCAAAACACCAATGGCAGTGGCTTTTTTTTTTTTTTGAAGCAGCTGAGTTTCTGTGTGTGCAGTTTGAATCCTAAGGAAGAAGAGAGTGGCACTTCTGTTGTCTTTACAGCAAAACCAACTTGTCCAGCTCGTGTCTCACTGCTGGGTGTGTCAGTGCCATGGCTTTAGACTGTTCCCAGAATTTAATCTGATATTAGGCAGGGTGCTGAGCTTAGGAAGGCCATCAGTGTGAATTATCGTGTCTTTAGTTGCTCCTAGAGAATTGTAATGCATTTGTGTATGGTCAGAACCAAAAGGATTAAATTACTTAAATGAAGATTTTTATAGCAGACAAAAAGTTCACGTTGCCATTTAAAATACTGAGTGTTCCATAGGATTCCAGTGCTAAATCCATGGAATATTTCTGAAGGGAAAGGTGCAGTGTTTCACATTTTAAAGAGCAACTAAGCCAAATTTTTGTGTGGTATTTTGTTTTTTTGTGTGTGTGTTGCTGCCTGTGTGGTGGGCTGATGTCTGGGTCAGCCACAGCCTGCCAAGGAGTTACTCCTTTGATAAGAAAGTGGCTGGTTTCTCACAGTGTAACACTTGGAACTGGAGGTGGATCTATTTTTTGGTTGGAATTTTTGACTTTTTTAAAGGGCAGGGAGTTTCTGTGCAAATCTTGATGAAGATTTCCATGAAGATTGACAGCTTTGTTCTGTCAGTTCTGCTTTGGGCTGCTGATTCTACAACCTGTGCTCCAAAATGCTTCCAAGTTGTTTGCAATCCACACACCACCATCAGATTCCTGATGAAAAATTGGAAGTTTAATGATAAAATGCCTTGTCTGGGGACTTTTCCCCTGCTCATGATGGCATTAAAGGCACCTACAAAGCTCCTGGGCCAACTGCCAGGTCATCATTCCAAGTGTCACCTGCTTTTTTTGGTGATAGGAACTGAGAAAAAGCCCAGATTTTGGGCCCTGAGGCCATTCCGTTTATTTTTCCATGGCTTAAAGCAACCAAAATCCCCTTTCCTCAAATCTGCACCTGATGTGTCACCCTGTGACAGGATTTTCCTTGTACCAGTACCAGCTGTAGCATCTCCTCAGTGCTTCCCAGCTTTCTTTCACCACAGCACAATCCCTGCCTCCAGCCTGCTGGATTCTCCCAGGAACAGTCTCCAAGATGCCAGTTCATGAATTTGCTGGTAAAAAAATGACTCAGGAATCTGCATTTCCCAACTCCTGCCAGTGCTGTGGTGTTCCAGTGGAGCTGATGGAAGCTCCAGGAAGGGATTTTCCCAAGCATTCTCGTTTTGAGTGCTCCTTTTAAGGAAGAAAGGACATTTTGGGAATTGCTGTCATTAGTGTGGCACTGCTCCTGCCTCAGCACTGGGGACAGTAAAGGAAATGGGAGTATTGCTGTGAGAATAATGGGCCTTCCTTGGAGAGTTTTGGCATTTCCTGCTCTGGAGCTGTAGTGACCACGTGCCTGCTGATGAAACAAAACCCAAAATTCCAGCTGGAATTTGTGCCACTGTGTGCAGCATTCCTGATTTACAGGAATATTGGGAAGCCGAGGGGGGTTGAATAATGGAGTTTTAAAAGCTAAAATAATTTTCAGTTGTAATTTGAAATCTGCAGGATATTGAAGGTCGGAGTTGTTGCATGTGGGTGATTCTGTCCTGCTCTCTTGGGTTATAAAATCCTCATTTGGGAATCAAACCTTTGGTGATTGAAGTTGTAGGGATGAAGAGTTGTCAGCATGTTCCAGTAGAAATGAGAACCCTGAGCATACAGGCATTGGGTTAAAAATAATCAAGGGGTATCAGTGGGCAGCTTAGATGTGTGTCAGGAGTGCTTAGAAATGGGAATAAAAAAGCACAGCTGGCTCAGGGGAGCTGATTATATTTTTATAAAATAGCAGTGGGTTTAAAAGAGTTGGAAAGCATTCCCTCTGAATCTCACAGCTTCCTTTGTCCAAGGGTTAATGTTGTGTATCTCACACCTTTTACCTTTGGGATTTTTATAAATTCACTTTCCCCTGAGTTCATAAATAGACCCTGTGATTTAGGTCACCTCCAGGCAGGGATTGTCACTTGTGGTGGCAATGTCAGCAACAAAGGCAAGTTTATTTTCTTGCTGGAACTGCAGGTATTTGTATCCAGAGAGGGGAATTGTTTATTCCTCTGCCTTGCCAGGAATTTCCTGGTGCTGTTGTTGGTCAGAGTGTGACAAATGCTGGGAGTGGCTGGTGCTGAGCTGCTGCTCCCATTAATGCTCAGTGTTAACTGGGAGGAGGAAAGGCTCCTGGGAGGGGTCAGTGTCCAAGGAAAGGCTCCTGGGAGGGGTCAGTGTCCAAGGAAAGGCTCCTGGGAGGGGTCAGTGTCCAAGGAAAGGCTCCTGGATGGGGTCAGTGTCCAGGGAAAGGCTCCTGGGAGGGGTCAGTATCCAAGGAAAGGCTCCTGGGAGGGGTCAGTATCCAAGGAAAGGCTCCTGGATGGGGTCAGACTCCAAGGAAAGGCTCCTGGGAGGGGTCAGTGTCCAAGGAAAGGCTCCTGGGAGGGGTCAGACTCCAAGGAAAGGCTCCTGGATGGGGTCAGTGTCCCAGGAAAGGCTCCTGGATGGGGTCAGTGTCCAAGGAAAGGGTCCTGGGAGGGGTCAGTGTCCAAGGAAAGGCTCCTGGATGGGGTCAGTGTCCAAGGAAAGGCTCCTGGGAGGGGTCAGTGTCCCAGGAAAGGCTCCTGGGAGGGGTCAGACTCCAAGGAAAGGCTCCTGGATGGGGTCAGACTCCAAGGAAAGGCTCCTGGATGGGGTCAGACTCCAAGGAAAGGCTCCTGGATGGGATCAGACTCCAAGGAAAGGCTCCTGGATGGGATCAGACTCCAAGGAAAGGCTCCTGGATGGGATCAGACTCCAAGGAAAGCTTTCCAGAGCAGCAGCACTGACTTCTGTTCCTGCTGATTCTTCTTGCAGGTGCCAAACCAGCTGCTTCTGTTGACCCCTGGGCAGCACCAGCAGGATCCACAGCTCAGCCTCTGGCCAAAAATGTGGACCCTTGGGCTCCTGCTCAGCCATCTTCTACTGCAGCAAAATCTTCTGTGGATCCTTGGGGATCAGCACCTGCAAACAAACCTCTCTCTACTTCTGGTGAGCAATATTCTCATCCCATATGCATCTTATTTGAGTAATGAGGAGAAGTCCAAACGGTTTTCTTGCATTGTGTGGTTCAAAGAAGCTGGACAATTGGCAGAATTGGTCTTCAAAATAAAAGGGACTTGGAATAACCAGCAGGAAAAAGAAATTTGAATGTAATTATTCAGACTTACAGCTCTGAATTCGAGGTGCTGCTTCCTGCTCTGTCCCTTCTATGTCTCCTCCTGGTATTTGTGGCTGCCTGCTGAGCACTTGGGACTGCTGCTGCTCTTGGGTTTTATCTTTAATTAGGCAAGGACTTAATTTCTGGCAATGAATGATACTCTAATTTCACCTTTCCTCATGATGGATAGCTCTGCAGATGGATGTCTCTGCAGATGTAGATTGACAGGTTGAGCAGCTCGGAGGAGACTTTTAGAGGTGCAAATGAAGGTTTGTTCCTTCAGACTGAGGGTGTGAAACCCTCCCTGAGCCCTGGTAAAGATGTAGAAGGTGCTGCTGTAATTGTCTTTTCATGCTCTGTAACTAATACAACCTTGATGAGTGTTAATACCTGGCATTTTCATATTGGCACCGTGGCTAAAAGCATCCAAAATGCATTTTCTGCTCATCATTCATCCCAGAATACAACAGACAAAGGGATCTGAGTGCTGCAAAAACTTCTCTAAGCAGCTTTTCCTGGGCAAAGGGCAATAACTGCAGCATTGTGAAACGAGCCTTTAGCTATGGTGGCTCTTTGTTCTTGATAAATATTGTTTTTATGTTCAATTTTCACCTTCTCTTGGGTTTTGTCATCTTGTGCTCTTCTTGCTTGAAATGTCCTGAAGGTTAAAAATAAACTAAGAAAACATTTCAGCTAATTAAAATTACCCACACAAACCTTAAAGCTGTTCAGGAGTGTGATTGCTGATCATTTAGGTGTTGTTTCTGTGCCTCCCAGTCTGAGGTAAGAGTGTGTCCACATTTGGCTGTGGTGATGTTTCATTGATTGCAGGCTCTGGGTGAGTGCTGGTGCTTCAGCTAACGGGGCTTTGCCACCTGCACAACCTCTGCTCTGGCATTCCTCCTCCTTTCCACTTGGGAAGCACAAATGAAATCATCACTGGTGGTGTTTTCCTTGAGGGCTGATTAACACTTGATAGTTGAGGCTGTAAATCCATTTCTGTTCTCTCCTTCCACAGCAAGATCTGCTTGTCTCTAATGCAGACACTCAATCAACCAAACCCCAGCGTGCTCAGGTGTGCCCTACACTGATCCAAAAGCAAACTGCTCTGATTTAGTTGTTCCATGCTGTCAGAAAGGACAGTTCTGTGACATTCTGCTTCTCCCAGCTCAGAGTAGGAGCACTCCCAGCTGCTGCCCTGGAACCTGTGGTGGCTTCTTGGTGACAGGAACGGGTCAGGAATTGCTTCCAGGAGGATCAGCTGTGTGATGCAACTGAAGATGTGTTAATGACAGGGCTGTCTTGTTGTTTTGAACAGGAAGTACATCTTTTGACCTCTTCAGTAATTTGAATGGTACAGTTAAAGATGATTTTTCTGAATTTGACACACTTCGAACTTCCAAAAAGCCAGGTACGAATCAAATTCTTAGCATGTGGACAGGTTGGGTGACAGTCACGGCAACAAATGTCTCTGTTCTTAAATTTTATTGAACAAAAAAAAATCAGTTTCCACAAAGGAAGTGATGATGCAGCAGTAAAAGCTCCTTGTTCCCATTTTGGCCTGTGCATGAACTCGTGGGGAATGGGCCTTTTGTACTCCATGGAATTGCACCGTGTGACCTTTTGCTGCATTGACCCAGAAATTTGTTGGACTTCCTAATTTCCAGTGTCCAACATGTTTGGAGCAGGGCTTATGCTCAGAGACTCAACCAGAACCATGCTGACTGAATCTCTCAAATATGTAAATTCCAGCAGGAAGATGAGAAAATACCTTCTCTGAATACTCTGATTTATTTTGCCTCTGGTCAATGGTCAGTAAATCAACACTGCCAGACCCTGTCAGTGCTGTGGTAGCATTGCTCTCAGGATGGTTCTGCCTGAAGCACAGCTGGGCTTTTTGAGGAGCCAGCCCTGGGTGGAATCCAGCTAGGAAGGGCACAGCAGTGGTGTAGGGCCAGGGCACGAGCCAAGGCTTTGGAGTATCTGTTCCTTGGAGCCTGTGAGTCCCACCTGGAGCAGCAAAGCTGTGGGAATTCCAGCAGTAGAGCACTGCAACTCTGACTGTAGCTTCTTCATGCTCTGCTAAAGGACATTGAGCTGCTTGCATGCTGAGAGGGTGTAACAGCCTGAAACACTGAGCCCTGACTAACACTAACCTAGCATAAAGCATCTCTGCTCCCACACCCTTCAGCCTGCTCTCTGCCTGGGCTCTGGGCATTAACCAGGAGTTCTGTTTGTCCCTTTGTGTTGTTGCAGCTGAATCAGGTTCCACTCTGCCCTCCCAGCACAGTGGCACCACGAGTCCTGATCTCTTTGAGTCCCAGCACTCGAGTGGGACCTCAGGCAAGCAGAGCACGGCCCGGAAAACCCCGGAGTCCTTCCTGGGCCCCAACGCTGCCCTGGTGAACCTGGACTCCCTGGTGTCCAAGCCACCACAACCTGTTACTTCTCTGAACCCATTCTTGGCACCAGGTTGGTTTCTGCACAATCCTTCACTTTTCTGTTGGAGCTTTCCCTTCCTGCAGGGGAATTCTGCCCAGCTCGGTGCTGGTGGGGTTAAAGATGGGTGGTTTGGGCTCGGTTTTGTTGGATACTTCAGCCAACAGATCATGAGCAAGAGCAGGAGGGTTTCAGAGAGGCATCCTGGGCTCACCCAGCACAGTGACAGTCCCTGAAAACACAGAGTCTCTGCTCTTGGTCTGCAGCTGAGCTTCATTCCAGCAGTTCTCCTCACTCAGAATTATCTGTGTTAGAAAGTTTGGGGTTGTTAAAAATGGCTGAACTTCAGCTGGATTTTGTCAAAACAGGTAAGATTGCCTTGGGAAGGTAACAGGTAGGAGTTTCCTGTGGAAGAAGGTTGGAATTGCCCTTTTCCTGGAGCTGCAGCAGGCACAGGAGATCTCTGACTGAATTACTCACTGAGTAATTCAGTGAGCTGCTGGTTAGTCTGTGTTAGGCTGCCACAGTGAGCCAGTTTTGATCTGAAAACACATTCTCAGTATATTTTGGAAGAAAAATTGGCTGTTGCAGTTCTCCTGCAAGCTGGGCCTGTTAGAAGTGAGCCCTTGCTTGGAGCAGACTGAAAATGGTGACACCAAACATGTGGCACATGTGTTTTTTAAAAGCTGAATATGCACTGATGTTTTCCTCTGTTGTTCTTAGGGTGAGACTTGGAAATGCTTTTTCAGTATTTATTTTCATCACTCTTCCAATGGAAGAAAAAGTCAATTTATTAAAACCCCTGAGTAGGAAGAAAGCAGTGATTCTGAGCAGCCTTGGCAGTGAGCAGGGAGAGAGAGGAAATCTGTGTATCTGCCCTTCCCGGGTACTACAAAAAGTTTGTGAGGGGTCACTGGGCCATCCAAATAATCCTGGGCTTGTACACTAAAAGGAATTTGCAGGACTGGCAGCAATCCAGGGAACCTCAGAGGCTGGGAAAGTTGTGCTCTGCTTTTTCGAGCACCGCTGCAATTCGGAAACAAGTTGTTTACTTTGGGAATTCTTGTCCCAGCTCGGTGCCAGAAACACAAAAATGGAGGTGGCTGCTGGGAGCTTGGAGCAAGCACACAAATCACAGAATCCCAGGATGGTTTGGAAGGGACCTTAAAAACCACCCCTGCCGTGGGCAGGGACACCTTTCACTATCCCAGGCCTGGCCTTGGACACTTCAGGGGATCCAGGGCAGCCCCAGCTGCTCTGGGCACCTGTGCCAGGACCTGCCCACCCTCCCAGGGAAGGATTTCTTCCCAGTGTCTGATGTGAACTCACTCTCTGCAGTAAAGGGGCACACAGAGCCTGCAAAGCACCACATAAAACATTAAATCAGTGATGTGGGAGTCGTGGTTAGGGCTTTTGCAGGGAAGCAGATTTGGAGCCTGTGACTCCAGTCAGGGCTGTCCGAGGTGGGAGCTGTGGGTCAGTGAAGGGATGCTGGAGGCAGCACTGGCTGCTTCCAGGGAACACTCTGTGCTCTGCTGGGGCTCAGATGCTGCTCAGGGGGTTTTGGGCATGGGGATGCACACAGGGAGTGTTGTTTGCCAGCAGAGATGACTGCAGCCCCTGGTGTCGATGGCAGTGCCTCACTGTCCCTTTTCTCCCCCGCAGGCGCCGCTACGGCAGCGACTCCAATCAACCCCTTCCAGGTGAACCAGCCTCAGCCTCTGACCCTGAACCAGATGCGAGCGAGCCCCGTGATGGGCAGCAGCCCCTCGTTCAGCACCGTGCCCCCTCTGAGCATGGAGCCAATACCTCTGTCTTCCATGGCCCCCGTGCCCGTGGGCATGGCGCCGCTGCCGGCCATGGGCACCATCCGCATGGGCCAGGGGCTGAGCATTGCAGGATCAATGCCCCAAGCTCTGCACAGTACAGGAATGCCGCCAGCAGCCTCCCAGGCTGCAAATACAACTAACCCTTTCCTCCTATAAAGACCCAATTAAAGGAACTTTTCTTTTCTTAGTGTTTCCAGGCTGAAGTCTTTCCAGCGAAACGAACGTGGCCTGTGTGGACTGAACGGTGTGTGAGAGACTTGGAAGTAGATTTGCAGTTTACAGTTATGATCTTTGAAGAGTTGTCTCTACTTACCAGTTAATCTAAATCTAGTCTTTGCTACAGATGGTACCTTACTTTGGCTTGTTGAGCATCATGTGAAATGTTCAGACTTTTCACCAAAGTTAGATTCTGCCCATTTTTGTTACTTTGTTAATCATTTCAAACACACTTTCTAGGGAGAGAACCTGCCACCGGAAAACTCCCTTGGCTATTTTGTAGATGTCAGATCATGTGCTGGATTCCTGAAGTTACTCTTCCCCTGCATCTGTCACTTCCTCTGCCCGTAAGATAGACCTGAGATTCCGAGTGCTAGTGAATGTTTTGCACATAACTACACACAGTTCTAGACTGTTGGTTCACCCATAGTCCTTACTCTTAGAAGAGACCGACCTGGAGGGCCCAGGGGGGCTTGGTTTTTATGCATTAAACATTGCAAACTCGCACTGCTTTGGTATCTCTGAGGTGTGACTGACAACAGCAAGCTTGTCTCGAAAGGAAAATAACACAAAACCCCAGGCAAAACACCCAAGACCATGCTCGAGTTGTGCTGTCGTGTGCAGTGTTGAATTCCTACACTACTCTAAGGACTCCTGGAACTCTCTGTGAGTGGCTGCACTCGTGCTGAGTGAGTGTCCTGCTCTGTGCTTGTCCAGTACCAGCTTCGTTTGGAAGTTTTTTCATGTGTATTTTGTTTTTATTTGACTTACAATGTGAGTTGAAAGGAAAAAAAACGGAAAAAACAAAGAAAAGCAAAAAAGAAAAAAAAAAGGAGATACAGTGGGACAACTTTGAATTCAGTTTCACCGGGGCAAGCTTTAAAACTAATTCAGGCTTAACCTTGCTATATGCAGTTACTCTTGTATACTTTTGCACATATTTTGTTTAGTACAGTTTCATATTTTGAGTTTGCAGAGTTACCTAATAGTCCTTTTTTTGCTAATTTTTATAATGTGGTTCTTATTTAACTGTCTGGTTTTGATAGATTTATCAAGTCTGGCTGAAAAATTAAGATATTGGCAAATGTCATTTTTATGGTTTTAATGCCCTCTTATTTATGGTTTTCGCTCTTTGTTTCTGTAAAGAGAGTTTAAAAGGGAAGATTAACACTAAAATATTTACTTTTAAATGAAGTATTCATAATGCAAATCAAAAAACAAATCCTCGTGACTAATTATTTTTAGATGAATTGAATTTGAGCATAACATGATTTAAGACTACATTAAAAAGAAAAAACACTAAAGTCGCCTTTCCCTTGATTTGTTCCCATTTCCCAATCCCCAGACTGGACAGACTTTTAGCCTTGATGAAGATCCCAAGAGAGGCTGTTTGGTTTTATTTTCCTTGTAAAACTTGTGGAGCTGTTAAAGATCCTGATGTGCAAACAGAACTTGTTTGATTTTAGCCACTGATTTTTCCTGTTGGAAGGTGCACTCCGTTGGATGACTGCTTCCATGGCCAGCCTCCCTTGGGAGCTGAGTTATCCCTTTTAGATGGATTTCCATGTCTGGACTCCTCACCACGCTCAGGGGTTCTGCTGGAGCTCCAGCCTCTCCCAAAAATCCACGGAAAGGGAATTTTCCTGCCTGCAGGGCACCTCTGAACAGACTTGGTGGCCTTTCCTTAATTTAAGAGGGGGAAAACAGAATTTGCCAGAGTTGTGTTGAGGTGGAACAATTCCCTGTGGGGCTGGAGAGGGGCTGGATCCCATGGAGGGGCTGGATCCCATGGAGGGAGTGGATCCCATGGAGGGATTGGATCCCCTGGAAGGAGTGGATCCCATGGAGGCAGTGGATCCCATGGAAGGATTGGATCCCATGGAAGGACTGGGATCCACCTCCCAATGGGAAGGGGAGGCTGAGGGATGATCAGATTTAGGGACACAGCCCCAGACTGGAGCTGTGCAGGCCAGGGGAGCTGTGGCAGTGGATGGAATGCTCAGTGTGTGGATGTTCCTGTGCAGATGTGGGATCCTCTGGATCCTCTGGAATTGCCAAGGAGCATTCCCAATCCTTGTTTTTATAGAGGAGGGAAGAGCTTTGCTGTCCACACCCAGCCTGTCTTTAAAAACAAAACCAAACCCCATTCATGTTGCCTTTCAGAGCAAAGCAAAAGACTTTTTCTGTTGTTGTTGAGGCTGTTGAGAAGTGTAGGGCAGGAAGGGTGTGATTCTTGCAGATGGGGGGGAAGGTGCTTTTTTCCAGCTGATCTGTGACAAGATTCCTCCTGGGTCCTTTTCCCAGTTGCATTTGACCAGCTCTGGAATCGAGGTCACTCGGGGTTTGTCCCTTTGTCCCCTGAACTGCAGAGGGATGGGGCATTGTCTGTCCAGCCAAGAGTCCTGGCCACGTTCTTGGGAACTTTTTAGAGGCAAGATGAGGTTGATAAGAAATATTTAAAGTGCTGCAATAATCTGCAGTTGGAGCTGTCACTGTAAATTTGCTCTGGGAGGGAGCCCTGGCTTAATGAAGCTGTTGAATGGCAAATCGTTGTCACTGCCCCCAGAACTTTATCCCTTTTATATGAAATAGAGACACTTATGGCACAACAAACCCCAGGGAGGCTCCCTGAGGAGCCACAGCCCAAATCCTGCTGCTGGAAATCTTTAGGCTGAGACTAACCAAGGCCAGAGCCCAGCCTGGCACGGGGCTTGTGGCAGGAGCTGAGTTTAGGAGGAGAAGGAGCTGGTTTGGTCGATGTTCCTGGGCTGGGCTGTCCCCAGGGCTGACACAGGGGGGCCACTGTCCTGGCTGGGGATGCTCTGAATGGTCCAGCTCACTTTGTGATGATCTTCCTCATCTCCAGGATAATCCTCCCTCCCTCCTGGCCCTCCCACATCCCTGGAGGGTGTTTGTGTGTCCCCTCTGCCCCAGTTCTCCATTTTCCCCTCTTCTCCTTCTTTCTCTCACTTTGCAAATATTCAAAGTGCTTTTTTTTCTTTTGTGATTTTTAAAATGTTAGCAGCCCAAAATAGCCTTACTGGTCAAATTGACCAAAGAGAAAAGTGTTAAATATCTTGTTAAAAAAATATAAATTAACACACACTCCTTGGCATAATTTCCCCCTAAATAAGCTCAGTTATTTATTCAGTTTTATGCTCTAGAGAAACTCAGCTCTGTGGAGGGGGCAGGGAAGGGAAGCCCTGGTGGGTTGTGGTGTTTTCAGTTTTTGGGAATCCCATAGCCAGGACAGCTCTTGTTCCTCTTGTGCCCCTTTGCTGTTCCAGCTCGAGGTGTGCTCTGTGCCTGAACATTGCACAGGTGGGGAGAAAGAAGAAATTTCCTTTTCCCAGCAGAATCTCACACAACTCTTCCTCTCCAAGTGTTCCAATATTTCCCAAACTGCTCATAACCCCGGGAGCCAGCTGCTTTTTCTGGATTTGTGCTGACTATTGCCATTATTTACTGTATAAATAATTTATCATTTGTACTATTGTATCATAATGTCTGTATCTTTGTGTCATTTTTTTTTCTCCCCCCCCAGCAATGTCACAGATGTGATATTTAAACGATGCCATCAGAACAGTGGAAAGACGAGGGGTTTGGAGGTGACTGGTCAGAATTAAAATTGTATTGCTTCTATTCCAGCTGTGTTGCTTTTTCCAAGCTTCTCCATGGTGTTTGTTCTCCCATTCCCACCCAGGCCCTGCTTGGTGGAGGTTTGCAGGAGGCTGCTGGGTTTGGGGTGAGCTGATGGAAGGTTTGTGGCAGGAGGATGGAGGGTGCTGTGGATTCCTTGGGTGCATCCAGCCCTTTGCCCAGGACAGGCTGCTCTGGCTGGGAGAGAAGAGGGTTTCTATGGCTCAGCTGAGACCTTACTGACTCAATAAAAATGGAGATTTGTTGTGTTGCAGGTGACTGAATTCCTTCTTTCAACCCTGGAGCAGCCCCGTGGAGGGAGCAGTGCCTCTCTGGAGGCTCTGGATTTGTGGATTCCAGGCAGGAATGTGGGGAAGGTGCCTGTGGAAGGAGGGCTGGGGAGCTGGGACAGCACCTGGGGAGTCCTCACTTCCCACTTGTGTAGCTCAGCCTGGGCTCTGTGCATGGATCACGAGGCTGCTTCCAGCCTGGAAGAGATCCAGGCCTCTAATCCCGGCTGCTTTAATTGCAGGGCACTTCATTAGCAGGCACCAGCAGGAGCTGCCTCTGCAGAGCCCCTCCAGGTGCCCTGCTTCGTTTGCAGCCAATCAGGCTGATCACTAATCAATGGTCACTAATTAATGCTGGAGAGGGGACTGTGGGAAAGGCAGCTTTGGGGAGAAAAGTCTCTGCTCTGGTTTCAGCTGGGGGAAGCTGCTGCCCCAGAAATGTTCCAGTGTCCCTGGAGGAGCTGGGGCTGCCCTGGAGTGTCCAGGGCCAGGCTGGGCAGGGCCTGGAGCCACCTGGGACAGTGGAAGGTGCTGGGGTTGGAACTGGATGGGCTTTAAGGTCCAAACCATTCTGGGACTCTGATTCTACTCCTGCCTCTTGCAATTGCACATTTTCAGCTAAATCTGCTTGCTGTGGAAGATGTGGGGACTCTGATCTCTTCCAGAGGAGCTGCATTCTGGTGGGTTCTGCTGGGTTCTGATGGGTTCTGGTGAATTCTGCTGGGTTCTGGTGGATTTTGCTGGGTTCTGCTGGCAGTGTGAGCCAGGGGAGCCTGAGCTGCCCCAGCCCATGGTCAGCAGAGCTGTGCCTGTGGTTGAGCTTTCTGCTGACCTTGCAGAGCTGCTCCCCCATCCCACATTTCCTCTTCCTCTCCAGAGGAGTGAGGAGGATTTGCCTGCTCTGCAGAGGAAGATAAGGATTTATCTTTTGGCTTCCCCTCGCCCACACTGCTTTAAGATTTTGCTGAGGTTTGTGTTGCCTCTTTGTGCTGGGCTGAGGGTGCAGCTCTGCCCTTTCTCTGCTTTTCATGGAGCTGTGGGAGAAGGGCTGGGCCCATCTCGTGCTCTGCCTTTGGCACTCTGCAACACCCTGCAAGCTGCATTTCAAGGAACCAGTGGGATTTATGAACCCCTCATGTTCAAAACTCCCAAACCCTCCTCCCAATCCCACCCATCCATCCCCAACCCTCCCAATCCCACCCATCCATCCCCATCCCTCCTGGAATTCTCCACAGCACTGCAGCTGAACCACCTTGAGTAATGCCTGCCATGGAAAATAATCAGACACCTTTGTGTCCTTCTTCTCCTAGAACCTGTGAAAATCAGCTCTGCCTTCTTCCTAAAGGGTTTTTTGTGGCCATGGAATGAAATCCATGGATTTTCCAAGCTCCAGGGAGCCAGCTCTGCTGTGCTGTAGCAGCCCTGGAGTCCGTGGGCTGCCTGGGGTTGTGTTGGGTGATGGTGGAGGAGGTTTTTTTTCTGCTTTTTTAATATCTTCATCAGCAAGTCTGGCACTAAATGGAGTGATGATATTCTCTGAGGTGAATTTGGGTACTTAAATATCCTGGCCTGAATAGGGAGCCAAAAATAGACACCTTCAGCAGTTCCATGTGTCTGCTGCTCTTCCCTCTGAAGGACAAGGCTGGATCCCTCAGATCCTGCTGGGAATGCAGCTCCTGTTGTTCCCTCCCGGGGGCCCAGCCCTGCTTTCCATGCCCCAAGGATGGGTTCTGAGGGATTTGTGCTGTGCTGTGCTCCCAGCCCCAGTGGGGCTGCCCTGGAGGCCACTGGCAGCTCTGGAGTTGGGTGGGAGCTGCAGGTTTGGGAGTTTTTGTTTCCAAAAGTGGAGGTGGCTCCTGGGTTTACAAATACCCACGAGTGTCTGAGGGTTGGGGTTGAGCTCCCCCACGTTTGCCTCCCAGAGGACTCCTCAGCTGATGGGAAAAGGCCTCAGGGAGCCCCTGTGCACCCCAAGGGTGATGTTGGGAGGGGACAGGGTGGGATTGGGGTGGCCTTTGCCCAGCTCTGCTGGGGGTTGTGTGGCCTGGAGAACTGGCCTGGAGAACATCCCAAACTGGAGCTGGTGGCTGCTCCAGATGTGCTCAGGTGTGCCTGGACCAGGGCTGGCTGCTGGGGGGCTCAGGGACACCCTGGAGATGTCCTGGGTGGATTCTCCAGGGCCACCAGCCCCTCCAGGTGCTGCCAGCCCAGGGTTGGGGTTCCTGCTGTTCCCCAGGTCTGGGTGTCCCCAGGGTGGGGAATGCCCCACGCTGTGGGTGCCAGCCTGGCTGTGCCACTGCTCCCACCCCAGCTGTCCTGTCCTGTGAGCCCCCAGATCTGTGTCCAGCACAGATCCAGGGCCTTTATCCCCCTGCATCTCCAGTGGCACAAATGGGAGAAAACACTACAAACATGTCCAGAATTGGAGCTAAATCCCCAATTCTCTCCAATCAGGCTGCTCTGTGCTTGAGTGTTTGATTTTTTCCTATTCTTTTTTTTTTGTTTTCCTTTGGAGCATTTCACAGATCTCCTGCTCCCAGCCTGACACTGCTGCTGGGGAGAAGCTGCTGTCAGCTTGAATCCATCTCATTTTCAGATGGAGATCATTCCCAGCTGCCACAGAGCTGCTGGTGTAAAGCAGCCTGGCAGCCTCTTGTGGATGCTCAGATCCCTGGCTCAGCCCCCTCCCCGTGGAGCGGCCCCGGGAGGTGTTTGCTCCCTGCTCTGGGGACAAGGGGCAGTGCCAGGGCAGCCAGCACGGAGCCACTTCCATGGAGGAACGGGAAAAACTCGGAATTCTTCATTCAGCCTCGGAGTTAATCGTTATTCATCACTTTCAGCGCTTTCCTGAAGGTTGGGAGCAGCCACGAGAGGGCAGGAGCTGCTGCTGCTGTTCGGTAGGAAAGGCGGTAAATACCAATTCCTAAGGATTGCCCGAATGATTCCCCTTTTCCTGGAGGGTTCGATCCCCAAGCTGCTGTTCAGCCCCCGTCCTTGGCTGTCTCCCTCCCTGGGGAACAGCAGGAAAACTCCCATGGAGCGAATCCAAAGCCTCTCCAGGCCAGGAGAGCTGCAGAGACCCCAAACTTCTCCCAGGCTCCCTGGTTTGTGATGGCCTTGGAGCCCCTCCTGTGCCAGGACTCGTTCTCCAAGAAGATTTTTATCTTTTTTTCTTTTTTCCCTGCCCATCTGGAATTCAGAGGATAATGACCAATTTCACTGTCTGGCAGGGATTTCAGGGGAGGGAAGCAGAGCTCCAGCTGAGAGCCTTGCGCTGCAGTTGTGGGGTTGGGAATTTCAGTGCAGGTTTGAAGAGAAGGGAGAATGATTAACCAGGAAAGGAGCAGGGTGATCCAGCTGGGTGAGCCTCTGCTGCTGGCTTTTACTGGGATTTGGCTGCTCTTAAAGCACTGCTGCTTCCAGGGTTTAACTTCCGTGAACCACTAGGGATCCTAAATCCCTTCCTTGGCACCGCTCCCTGCTCACGGTGTCGTGGCCATTTTTATTCACAGGTTGTCCCCAGGTGCAAACACTGCCACACCTGTGGGGCAAAGATTTCAACCAGGAAATGATGAAAGCAGCAGCAGGGCCATTTCTGGGAGAAGTTTCTGAGGGATATCAACGGCATTGGGCTTGGGAAACTCCAAACATCAGCCCCTGGGCGATGCCCTGAGGGAAACACTCACAGGAAACTTGCCCAGCCCTAGGGGAAGGTAAGTGAAGCTCTTAGATGTGTTCAAGCCATTGAGGAGCCCAAAACCACCCCAAAATCCAGCTAAACCCAGAGAAAATAGGCAAAAAGCCCTAAGAGTGCAGGTAGCAGTGTGGGATCTGCTTAAAGAGCTGCTTAAATGCCTCAAAGATCTTTAATCCTGTCTTAGGGAGTTCAGGATTTTTGTTCCTCATTGTTTTTAACTTCCCCTCAGCTGTCAGGAGGAAGCTGGCTCAGGTCTGGTTGGTGCCACTGGGGTGAAACAGCCAAGAGTTCCTTTGGAACAGGAGGAATTCAGGGCTTTGGAGCAGCAGGGTGAGGAGCTGGCTGTGAATAAAGCCCAGGTTTGGGCTGTGCCAGGCTCCTGTGCAGCCTTGCTGCAGTTGGAATGTGGGCAGGAACTGTGCTCCAGGGAAAACTGGTCCTTGGGCAGCAGCAGGAGGTTCAGTGTTTGCCTCCCAAGCCTTTCAAACTCTGATATTTATCCTGCTTCCCAAACTGCTGAAAAGGAAACAAAATTCCTCGAGTCTCCTCTGAGCCAACAGGAAATGCTTCTGAAGTTGGATTCCAACATGACTCAGTTCAGAGATTACAAATGACCAAAACAACTCCACTGCAAGTGTGGAGTCAACAAAAACATGGCAGGAGATGAAAAATTATCCCTAAAAACGTTTGGAAAGTATTTCTGTGTTATATAAAAGGTGCTGCTGCCCCCAGCCATGTCCTAGTGGCTACTTTATGATCTCAGAAATTAAATTTATTCCATCCCACTGTGGATCAGAACAATCTCTGCCCAGGTGTTTTGTTGAGCTGTGTCCTGGAGGATTTGTGGCTCATCCCTGGGTGTTTTTCCTGGGATTTCTACACTTGGAATTCCCTTTTAGGGAGATGGTGTCGTTCTCCTGGGATTTGCAGTCAAACACAAGAGGTTACATGCCCAAAACTAAATAGGAAAATGACTCAGCAATTAGTCACTGCATTGAAACACTTTTTTTTTCTCTTCTACCTTTAAGTTTAGCAGAGCTCAGATGATTTAGGGCTTAAAAACATGCTGGCAAAAACAAAGAAACCACTTTATCAGCAGAAAAACAAATGAATCCATTGATACAACAGAGTTTATTTATTCAGCCTAAAAAAGCTTAGAATGGGTTGCATTTCACAGGACCATTTTTGGAAGGTGCAATAATTTCAATTCCTCTTTTGCCAAAAAAAAAAATATCACTGAAGAGACACTGGGTTTGCAAAGTTTTAACTGCAGGGAAACTGCTACAGCTCTAAACTTTCCACGTCATTAATTCTATAAGAAGGTGTACAAAAGGCTGCTATAAAAATATTTTGTTACAGGCCTTACTCTGAGACAGCTTGACCCCTAAAAACACTGACTAAAATACAATAATCATCAATAAAACACTGAATGTTACCAATAATGTTGATTTCCACAAACACTTCAGCCTGGCTGAGAGGATCAGGCTTGGCTGTTATCCCAGATCCTCCTGGGCTGGTGTTTTTTGGAGTGACTGAGTTGGAGCAGCTCCTCCTTTCCCTCAGAAGGGCTTTGGGGGGCTCAGGAGCTGTGCAGGGGCCCAGGGGGTTTGGGGGTCTCAGAGACCCTGCAGCCCCTGGGGTTTGGGGGTCTCAGGAGCCCTGCAGCCCCTGGGGTTTGGGGATCTCAGAGACCCTGCAGCCCCTGGGGTTTGGGGGGCTCAGGAGCCCTGCAGCCCCTGGGGTTTGGGGCCCTCAGAAGCCCTGCAGCCCCTGGGGTTTGGGGGGATCAGAGACCCTGCAGCCCCTGGGGATTTGGGGGGCTCAGAAGCCCTGCAGCCCCTGGGGTTTGGGGGGATCAGAGACCCTGCAGCCCCTGGGGTTTGGGGCCCTCAGAAGCCCTGCAGCCCCTGGGGTTTGGGGGGCTCAGAAGCCCTGCAGCCCCTGGGGTTTGGGGGGATCAGAGACCCTGCAGCCCCTGGGGTTTGGGGCCCTCAGAAGCCCTGCAGCCCCTGGGGTTTGGGGGGCTCAGAAGCCCTGCAGCCCCTGGGGATCTGGGGGCTCAGAAGCCCTGCAGCCCCTGGGGCCCGGTGGTCTGGCCCTGGCCCACGTCGTAGCCCAGCTTGTGCAGGTCTTTGGTGATCACGTTGAAGGAAATGGTGACAAAGCCCTGGGATCGCACCCTGGTCACTGCACAGAGGGGAGGGGATGGCATTAATTAAAGATTAATTAACGATTAATTAAAGGGATTCAAGGGGAGCTCTTTGTCAGCAGGCAGGAGCTGCCAGGACTCACCTTCCCGTCCCTCTCCCTGCGCCACCACTTTGGGGTCGGTGAATTCCGGGCGCCTCCCTGTGAACCAGCTTGGAGGAAAATACAAATTAATGGATACAAAACACAAAATATTGAATACAAAATACAAATTAATGAATACCAAACACAAAATATTGAATACAAAATACAAATTAATGAATACCAAACACAAAATATTGAATGCAAATTAATGAATACAAAATTCAAATTAATGAATACAAAATACAAATTAATGAATACAAAATAATGAATACAGGATTCAAAATTCAAATAATGAATACAAAAACAAAATAATGAATACAGAAAACAAATCATTGAATTCAAAATACAAAATTATGAATTCAAAATACAAATTATTGAATACAAAATTATGAATACAAAAAAACCAAAATTATGAATACAAAATACAAATTATTGAATTCAAAATACTAATAATTGAATATAAAATACTAATCATTGAATACAAAAGACAAAATTATTGAATTCAAAACACGAATTATTGAATACAAAGTAATTAATTTAAAATACAAATTGAATACAAAATACAAAATTATGAATGCAAAATACAAAATAATGAATTGGGTGGCTGAGATTGATCCAGGCTATGAGATGGATGTCACTGAGACTGCCTAGAGGGTTTTGAAATCTGATTCTCTTTATTGATCTAATTCAATCAAAGGTAGGTTTTGCCTAAAGGAAAAAAAATGCAACTGGTTTCATACAGATTTTGTTAAATCCAGTTTTTTTTCTGGGCTAGAAGAATCTTTCTGTGGCAAAGATATTGTTGAAAAATTCTTCTTGAGTTTCTTAAAAAAAAATTGGATTGGGAATTGTTTTTTCATGGGTTTTCTCTTCCTGTGGCTGTCCTTCCAGAACAGCACCAAGAAGATTCAGGCAGTAATTTAGTGCAGGTAGCAGGTAATTAATATGTCTGTTATATTATATATTAATATGTTATAGTACTATATACTAATATATATTATATTAATATGTTGATATTACTGTAATATATTAATATAAATAATATTGTTGTTAATAAGTTTATGAAAGCTTTTCAGAAGACCCAGACACCTGAAAATGTGATTTTTACCCACAGAACACAAAGCTGGTTATGGCACAGAGCAGTGACACCTCTGCACCACTGAGTAGCTGCAAATGCCTTTGTGGCTGAGAACAGGAGAGAAATTCATTCATTAATGAATGAAAGTCATTAATTATTACCTTGTGAGCTGCTGCAGCCTCGAGGTGGACTCTGGGACAAACATGGCAATGGTTCTTTTGTGCCTGAAACCAAGAGGAGAGCCCAGAACCTCAGGAATGAATAAAAAGCAGCATTTTTATATTTATGAAGGCACAGAATTCCTGACAAACCAGGAACTTTCCCTTCACACAGAAAGGGTTTGTTTGCACAGGAACTACAGATTTTCCTCCATTCCATCCTCCAATAAATGAGAATTTATTGTGTGAGGAACTGACCTTCATATCTGGCCTTTTTACAGGCCAGTTTGAGCTTCACAGGATTACCAAAACTTATTTAATGATGAAAGAATTCTGCTAGAAAATCTCTGTGAACTGACAGGGCACGATGAGAAGATTTTTGGGAGTTTTTTTTTTGTTTCAGGAACAGCAGAATAACCAGACCAGGATGTGTCTGAGCCCTGCAGGTCGGGCTGGCACTCACCTGCCTGGCACTCACCTGCCTGGCACGAAGGGCACGTGCACAGCTCCATAACCCCTGACCACATCGTGGCCAAAGAAGTCAGGCCCGTAGACACTGAGCACAATCTGCGGCCCTGCAAGGAAATGGGGGTGAGAGGGGCGCTTTGGCACCAGGGCCAGACCCCCCCCAGCACTCACAGCCAAAGGGGTTGGTGCTCTTGAAGGTGATGTCGATGGGGAAGTTCCAGACCAGCGTGGTGGGCGAGACGCTGCTCTTGGAGGCGATCTGCGAGATTCCCTCCTCCAGGCCCTGCAGGGAGCAGGGGGTGAGTCTGGGGTCGGGCTGAGCCCGGGGGTGGGGACAGGGGGACACGGGGTGGGGACAGGGGCGGTACCGCCGTGGGGACCCAGTCCTGGCCGTAGACAAAGGAGAACTTGCAGTAGAGGTCATCGAATCCCGGGAACTGCGGGAGAGAGAGAGAGAGAGAGAGAGAGGGAGGGATTACTGGGAATTCACTGGGAATTTCTGGGGGTGAGGATCTGCCCGAGTCAGGATGCTGAGGGCAGCCTGTGCCAGCGAGACTGGGACAGACGGGATGGGTTTGAGGGCTGAGGTTGGGATGGGTTTGGGGAATGAGGCTGGGATGAGTTTGGGAAGGGTTAAGACAGGGATGGGTTAAGGGGGATGAAGCTAGGCAGGGTTATGGGGGCGCTGAAGGTGTGCAGGGTTGGGTGGGATGAGGATGGGTTGGGTTTGGGGGTGCTGAGGGTGTGCAGGGTTGGGCGGGATGAGGATGGGTTGGGTTTGGGGGTGCTGAGGGTGTGCAGGGTTGGGCGGGATGAGGATGGGTTGGGTTTGGGGGTGCTGAGGGTGTGCAGGGTTGGGCGGGATGAGGATGGGTTGGGTTTGGGGCTGAGGCCGGCCAGGATGGGGGGCTCAGATTCTCATCCCGCGCGGGCGGCCGCAGCACCGAGACCGGGCCAGGGCGATCCCCCCATCCCTCGGCGCTGTCCCGGTGTGTTTCCCGCAGTGTCCCCGGCTCTCCCGCACCTCCCCGCTCTCGATCTCGCCGCTCACGGCCAGCAGGAACACGCTGGGCGCCGCCATGGCGGGCGCGCCGGTTGCCGTGGCGACGGACGGGGCGGCGCAGCGGCCAAACTTCCTCGGCACCGGGCTTCTCTTCTCTTCGCGGGGCTCCCGATCCGCAAAGTCGCCCTAAAATCACCCAAAAATCGTCCCCAAATCGCCCCAAAACGCGGTCACCCCACCTCCGGAACCCCTGGCACCCCCGGCACGGGTGTACCCAGGCGGATCCTACCCGCTCCCCTCAGCCGCTGAGCCCGCCCGGCGCTGCCCCGTTATTCTCGCACCGCCACGTGTCCAGAACTTTATTTATCATTATTATCATTTAATATCAGCCTGAAGCAACCCCAACCGAGGATTCGGCCTGCCCAGGGGATGGGCACGACCCCAAAGCTGCCGGACTTCAGGGACAGCGCTTTGAGGGATGCACAGGGCGGGGGTTTGGGGTGTTTGAAGCCGGACGGGATCCCAGGACGGGCTGGGATGATCCAGCTCGGGATATTCCCGATCCTACAATTCCATGTGTGGAGGCCATGGCCACTAGATGATGCTGCCGGGCAAGGGCCAGAGCAGTTGATGTTGGCAGGGAGAATGTGGGAAATGGTGGATTTTGTGCTCTCTGGAGGCTCAGCCCCAGCGGTGAGGAGAGGGGCCCGCGGTGCCCTCAGCAGGGCGGGTGTTGACCATGGCGAGCGGGAGAAATGCCCTGACACCGCTGGGTGTGCATGGGGGCGGGAAAAGGAGGGAACAGCACGGTGCTGGGTTAATTATCCCGCTCTAATTAAAAAAGGAAAGAGGGAGTTGAGTGTGTAAATAAGGATGGATTGTGCTGGGGCTTTTTAAGAGCTGCACCCGCTGTGATCTGCTGAGGGTGACTTGTTCTGATGGTGGCCCAGTGACAGTTCTGGCCCAGTGACATGGTGCTGGCCCTGAAGAATTAATTTGTATTGGAACTCGTTATCATTGGTGAGATTTCTTTTGGTTAATGAGCAAAATGAATTAATGAGCCAGTCAGAATGAATTGACACAGAGGCAGGGAGGGGAGAGGGTGAGGCAGACCCGGGGAGATGGTGCCCAGAGGGACAGCTGGATTTGATAGGGACATAAGGAATAAAAGCAGGGCAAAGAGGGGAGGGTAAACAAGCTCCTTCTCCTGCTGGCCTGGTGCTGTGGCAGTTCTGGACTGGTGACACGGTGCTGGCCCATCGGGACCGTGGTTGTGCCAGGGAATTTGCTGCCCACACACCAGGTCAGGGCCATGGAGGCTGCCCAGCCTGGCTGTGGTTCATCCTTCTCCTCCTTTCCACATCCTAGGCTGCCTTCCCCTCTCCCTGTGGAATTTTGGGGTATTCATTGCTGCCAGACTCTCTGGGGAAGTGTGGGAGGAGTGGAGGGAGCCCTTCCACATTTCAGTAGACGTGTTCTCTGTCAGTACCTATTTCAACTTAGTTTTTCAGGCCAAACAAATTTGGCCAAGAGAAGAATGGGACAGGGAAGCAGGAGGGATGGGAGGGAATGCCTGAAATGTTATCCTTTCTCCACAGCCCTTCAGAAATGCTTCAGGGAAAAGAATTCATTTGAACTGAAAATTATCAAGGATGGGGGGGAAGTAGAGCTGTTCTGGAGCAGCTGTCTGGAGCAGCTAGTGAGGCAGTTTAATTAACACTGCACTTGGCTACCAGCTACCTTGGAGCCAATTTCAGGACATTTTTGTTGCCTGGCAGGTGATATACAGCTGCTGGAGGAGTTCTCCCAGCAATAGGAGACCTTCCCCATGGCAGAGAGATGGCAGGGGGGTTATTCAGCAGCCGTGAGTCATCTGTACCTGCATCTGGAAGGACTCTGTCCCCTCCCAGCCATAGCAAGACTTTTTATTCCTCCCTTCTTTGCATGCCAGCCTTGTTTTAATTAGCTGTATTTTTAATCTTTGTGAGCAGAGTGAAATCCCAAGCAAGGAAGTGGTTTTATCCTGCTGGAAAACTTAATTAATGCTCCATCAGAGAGTTTGATTTCCAAGCATGATGAAGGTTTGTGTGTGGTGGTGACCCCGTGGGTGTTATTTAGCAATGCTGCTGTTTCTCCTGGCTGTTTAAAACATTCTCCTCTTCTCCAGAACTGTGATTTTCACAGGAATCCTCCCTAGGGTGTTTGGAGCCACAGTCATCCTCCCAGGGAGGAAGGACAAGGTCCTGCTAATCACTGACTTGTCACCTTTTCCAGGTTGGATCCCAGCTCCTGGAGAGCCATTCCCAGAGTCCCTGCAGCACTGACCTCTGTGCTGGAGGCACGAAGTGGAACAGCTGAGGGAATTATGTTTGCTTCATTCCCAGCAAGAGCCAAGGGCTGGAGAAATGAAACAAAAAAAATCCAAACTGCTGGGAGCTCTGGCACTGGGAGCTCCTGAATCCAGCCCAGGCACTGTGACCTGCCCAGGCTGCCTGGCTCTGGGTCCAGGAGCTCCCAGGGAGGCTGGAGAGTTGTGCTGAGCCCTTTCCCTGGGTTTCCCCTGGAATCACCTCTGGATGAGCCCTGGGGAGGGCAGGCAGGGGCTCCAGTGCCAGCAGGGCATACCTGTGGGTTGTGTCTCCTGCCCATCGCCCCAGCTCTGGGCTCCTCCACTGCAACTGCAGCAGGAGCAGCAGGTCCCTGGAGAACAGAGTGGAGAGACACCCTGAGCAGCAGGGAGGGAGCAGGAGCAGCTCCTTTGTCTCCATTACCTGCTCAAGCCCCATCACAGCAGCCCCAGGGCTGATCCAGTGAGGGTGGGAGAAACACAAACAACACCACGGTGGCACAGCACAAACGCTTATTTTGAATCCCAAATATTTATGATCAACACCTGGTAAATGGCCAGTGAAATACATTTGATGGTGTCATTAATCTGCCATAAAGCTTTTGTATTTTTAGAGTTGTTTGCACAGCGTTGACTCATCCCTGCCTGCCAGGAGGCTGCAGGGAGCTCCCCTGCCTTTTGTCTTCCCTGCCTTTTGCTCCTGCTGCTCAAATCAAACAGGGGGTGAGTGGGATCTCACAGCAGCACACACAGGGGGATATTCCTGCTGTAATTCTGCTGTAATTCACACTTACCTGGTGGTGGGAAGGCACCTGGGTGAGGCTGGGTGGGTTTTGTGTTCTGTGGCTGAATCCCAGAGTGATTGATCTTGGAAAGGACCTTAAAGCTCATCCAATTCCACCCCCTGCCACGGGCAGGGACACCTTCCACTATCCCAGCTTGCTGTCCTTGGACACTTGCAGGGATGATCCCTGTGTCCATGTGGCCGCCAGCCCCATGCCAGGGGCCCTGCTGGGCACGGACGCTGTCGCTGCCAAGGAGCTGTGAAGTGCCCGGTCTTCCCTGAAGAATTAATTTGTGTTGGAACTCGTTATCATTGGTGAGGTTTCTTTTGGTTAACGAGCAAAATGAATTAATGAGCCAGTCAGAATAAATTGACACAGAGGCAGGGAGGGGAGAGGTGAGGCAGACCCGGGGAGATGGTGCCCAGAGGGACAGCTGGATTTGATAGGGACATAAGGAATAAAAGCAGGAGGAGATGGGAGGGTAAACAAGCTCCTTCTCCTGCCAGCCATGGAGCCCTCCTGCTTGTGTCCAGTGGTGGCTGCATTTTTTGGGAATAACTCAGGTGGGAACTCTGTTTTCCATGCATCCAGCAGACCCTGCAGACGTGGCCACAGGCCCTCGGCAGCTTGTGCCTCCACGTGGGGCAAAGCAGAATCAGAAGAAGCTGCTCCAGGGGACTTCAATCAAATATTCAAATCATTAATCTGGATCTTCCCTGTGGTGTGACTTAATGAGGGTTGTTGGCATTTTCCCCCTTTCGTTGTGAACAGGTTTATTTTTCACTGGATAGCCCAACATCCACAGCTGGAAAAAAACAACCCAACGCTGACCTACAAGTGAGGGACACAGGTGAAGGGTCCTGGCATGAGGAGCAGCCCAAGTTGGGTGTGGGACACTCCTGGTGACATCTCTGCATCAGTGAATGCCAGGGAATCGTGGAATTGTAGAATATTGAGTTGGAAGGGACCCACAGAATCATTGAATGGTGCCAAAATCCAGAGGGTGCATCGGTGCCACTGCACATCCCCCATCCCAAGCAGCCCCATAGCACCTTCCCTTCACATCCCCCATCCCAAGCAGCCCCTCAGCACCTTCCCAACCTCCGGAGAGGGGCTGACCCTGTGGAAAGAAAGGGCTAAAGCAGCCTGTGGGAGCACCATAATGCTGGGAGAGGATGGAGCACTCACCTGGTGTGAGCTGGAGTTATTCCAGGGGCTCAGCAGGGCTCCAGCAGAGAGACACGAGCTGCTCAAAACCCAAAGAGCCACAGAGATTTCAGTCAGGGTGTGCTAAAATTCCTAATTAAGCCCCCTTGTCTGGAGGATGAGGTGGCCCCAGCCATTAAAACCCAGCCATGGTTTGAAAACTTAATAGGGGAAATTTAATGGATGAAGTCAATTGAATTATTCATCCCCAGAAAGCTTGTACAAATATCAAATGCTTATTAGCATTCATGCAACCTGTATGATCTCACAGCTCTGACAGATTAAGGTTGGGGCTAATTGCACCCAGGATGGCGTCAGATTTGGTGCTTGGTATTTTTTAAAGCTTTTTTCCCTCCCCAGCATGACAAAGAGAATTTCAGATCGATGCCATCTGAGATTTACCCTTGAAGCAGAGCCCCTGTGATGGTTTCCTTCCTCAGCATGGTGGTTTTTAATCCCTGCTTGATTCCTGCTCCTCCAAGGGTGCTGAGGTGGCCCTGGGCCAGCCCAGATGGACACAGCCCCCATCCCTGCGGGCTGTGGGTTTGCTGGAATGGAGAGTGCTGGGGCAGAGTCTGGCTGATTAATGGACAGGACTGAATGGCCATTAAAAATGCAAAATAGAAATCGATCCAATTAAATAATCATGACTTGCATTTAGCCCGTGCTTTTCACTTCCGATCTTAAGCGAGGCTTGCAGACAGTCCGGGGGGACATTGCTTAATGCTGCAGAGATTTAA